CCCCCCCCCCCCCGCCGGGAATGGCACATAAGCTTGGAATGAACTCTTTTTTAATCTAGCCGCGTCTGTCCACAGACGTTTTTCTTTTGTCGACAATTCGACCGCGCTTGCGGTCAGTGCGGTCAATAAATTCCCCGCGGTTTTTGTTTCCATACGTACGCTCAAAGATAGACTGCAAAACAGTCCGTTTTTTTCTCAAAATCAGTAAAGAAATCGGTAAAGCGTGGCGTAAGAGTCTTACGCGCGCGAAGCGCGCGAGCTTCACACGCCCGTAGGGCTCGCTCTCTGTTTTCAGCCTCATTCCAGACCTTTTGTTTGACTGCTCGCGCGTACTTGAATACGCAAAAATACGGACTGTTTTGCAGTCTAGCTCAAAGAGAAAATACATGTAAAGGGGCTGTGGAGATGCTACTTTGAATCTTGTCCAATTTGAAGTCCCAAGTCCAAGCACGTTCGCTTACTGTCCAGATCAAGACGAGGTTAAATCAGTCATAGTTTGGACTTTTACTTTTAAGCACGTTTACTCTATGCGACAGGATGGCGTGGGTGGGTGAATTGCTGGCCCTCAAAATTAAGAATCTTTTGTTCTATGAAAAATGTTTTCAGTTGATCCATTTAAATCGGTCGGATAAAACAGCTTTAAGAAGTTCCTACACCTACGCACGCGTTTCCTGTTTTAGTTCGGAAACACGCAAGAAAGTAAAGTGCTGTCTTTCTGCCTCTGAAAGTAAATGTAAAAAACGAAACGTACCGCTGTTTTTGTTCTTCTCTTTTATAGGATTTAAACTAAAACGAACCACATCTTCAGCAAGATATAAAAGGAAGCAGAAACAATGGGTTAATACTAATAAGCTGATTAACAAATCGACCACAATTTTCCATGGTCTACGCTCTTATAGACCCTAGAAATGACCTATTGGTGTCATAAGAGTGTGGACCATGGAAAATTGTGATCGATTTGTTTTTTACAATAACATTTATTTTTTTGTGAAAACCAAAAACAAAATGACTGGCACTGCGTGACAGGTCTCATAGACCAATCAGCGTGACAGGTCTCTTGACCAATCAGCGCGCAAGGATTGGCTCAGTTATTGTAAAATAAATGATAGACATTTTCACTAAGAAAACTATTTGAAGAAGATTCTTCCTAACGGAAGTGGTAATATACCACGTGACCTAATGACGACAAAAAGGGCTGCAAAAGTTAGAAAGGGAGCATCGTGAAGGTTACACTCTACAGAGGAAAAGATGGGAGCTCACATGAAATTTTCAAGACGGGATATCCACTCTCTAGTATTCTCCAACCCTGATAGCGGAGCTGCGTGCGGTGGAAATTTCTGTCAAATGGTACTGGTATTTTTTTGGCACCGAAAACAGAAACGGGATTGAGTTGTACCATTTACGAAATGCCGGTAAAGTTTTCGCTTTCTCAGGACATGAAGCCTGACACTATTCATCCAAACAAATGGTACAGAAAAATTTCGATCGTTTCGGTAAAAAACGGGAAAAAGGTAATGACTCGAAAGGTATTACTTTTTTCAGGAAAATTTCCACCGGGATGAGCCGTTCATGCAAATGGTGAGCGCTCTTGGATTCTGACTGAAACTTTTGTAAATACGAGATTTAATATTACATACTTAGAGAAACTAGATTTCCATTTGATTTGGAAACACGCCCGACTTTTTGCATGTCATGATCTTTTCGTGAAACAAAAAGAACGTTTTCATACTGGTGTAGATCCAGTCCGATTTCCAGTGATTGAGGGAAAACGATGAGATTACAAACAGAGGATATCGCGACCAGAAGACTTCCCGGGATGCACCCGCCTTCGGGTACTCGCGCACGGCATCGGACTGAACGTTTACGATTTTACTCTGCCCAAACTGACCACATTTTTTCACCGTCTATAGTCTTATTTATAGAACATAGAAATGACGTCCAAATTTTGAAACCTCGAGTGGCTTCGCTAAAACAGTGTTGAAAATTTTGACGTCATTTTTAAGTATAGAGTATGGACAACGGAACTTAGAATCGTCCCGCGCAAAGCATGAAGGGACAGGACAATTTTCTATTGTTAAGAGATAAGACAAGACAACAAGCCTTCCCATAATAAAAGCGAAAACGAAACTTTATACGGGATTTTTGAACAATTATAAGTGGAACCTGCTGTCAAACTGCGCGGTTTGGATCAAGATACTTGGGTAAGTTCCTCATTTTTAGTTCGCTCCCGCGTCTTCAATAATTTTCTTTTTCGTGAAACCACAATTTTTTACTTTAGAACCGAAATATTTACTGAACTATACTTTTACAATTCAACAAGAAATGCCGTAGCATAGAAAGGCTTCTGTGCCATTTTATTGATGTTAGCTTAAAGGCGGCTGGCCCGGCTTATATTGTATTATTTTCGTCCCAGCACCTGCCATAAGTCACCCTGAGCCGGTGTTTAATTACCAAAGCACGTGGAATGGAACAAAGGTGGAGTTCATTTTTCCCCTTTTTCTTCTCCGTTTTCTTGCCGGGATCTCATTTAGTCGGTAGGTGAAAAACTTTTAATTGTTAGAATTTTTTAACTAAAAGGGCCAAAAAAGTTTTGTTTGCTTTTCTGAGGCACCGCGCAAACGCCGCATTACAACATTTAATTCAACATTTTCCCGCCATTCTTGAAATGTAACTGCCGTTCCTCAGCGTTCCTATACGAGAAAGCCTGTAGATTTGATGTTCGCCAATCATCTTAGGCCAGGAATCACTAGGGAACATTTCAGTTCTAGAGACGGCTTCTCCTAGTAACATTCTTCAACTCGTGTGAACTAAATGGAATTGAAATTTTGAGACATTCTGTCCGATTTCATAGCGTACAACCGTGTGTAAACCAGCTGAATTTCACGCAAAATGTTGGACAACAGAATTTTGTTTATGCAAGAAGATTTTTCATTTGAGAATGTTACTATCACGCGCATGCCACGGAGAAAACGCGAGAGGCGGGGGAAGCCGCTGACGCCGCGAGGGCCGGAGTAATTCCAGTGCGGATAAAAAGAGCTTCTTTATTGCCGCCCTCTGCTATCACATCTCCTTTCGCA